TTCCAGATGGGCAGAGGGACGCACTGGAATTTAATTTCTCCTGTCACCGCTGCTCTCTGGCACAGCTCCCTCTCTAAACAAGAATCACCAATGAGTTGGCAAAATCTGGGGCTGTTTCCTTCTGGTGCCAGACTGGAGATGTAAATCCACCCCAGATGGATTTTTTTTCCCCACTGTGCCACCCCTAGGTGATGCTTTAGCATGGCCAGAAAAAGTGTCACCACGTGTACAAAGGTGTTGATGGCACAAGAAATTCACCAGAGAATGATTGGCTGTTTAATGTTATTTAAATTTCAATTAAATGTTAGCAGTGCTGGTTCAAAAGCTCGAAATAGTTAGAAATAATCTCCAATTTCCGAGCAGGTTATGGATTTAAAGAGATGAAAATATTGACTTACCTGAAACACTCCAATGTTCCACACTGAAATGTAAAATGGGATAGGGAGTTGTGTTTACCACAAGCAGCTGAGAGAGATTTTTTTTTTTTTTTAAATCATGTCTTCAAATTATAAAATAAAAATCCCTGAGATATTCAAAGCAATGGTTGGAGGTGTGAATGCTGCCAGTGATTCATACACTGGGGAAGAAAAAAAAAAGAAAACCAGTGAGAAATACTTACACTTCAGTATTTTGACTCATGTTTTCTCATTAAAAGATGCTATTTGAACTTAAAACACTGATCAAGCTGCAGAAGATTTATGGATGTGGATCTCCAGAGAGGGTTTTGAGGTCTGTTACCACATCTAGGCCTGGTTTAAAACAGGCTTTGTCACAGAGCACTCAGCCAAGGCTGGGTTTAAATCCTGCTGAAATAAAGCCAAGATAACCCCTGGGGGCACCTGTGATGGTTCCTACCATATTAATTGACCAATGTAGCACAACGTGGAGTAGTCTTAGATAAGAACTATGTTTTCTCTTTAAAATATATTGTGTATTAGCTCATTAGAAACTGATCAGAGAGGTGAAATACAGTATTTTCCCAACAGTTTTATGGCAAGTGTTTATCCTTCAAGATAAATTATTATCTTTGTCCTAAGCATTAGTTTGCTTCATGACCAGGGAAACTTTGCTTGTGTGTCTCCCAGAAAATCTATTTTTGGTCCACCAAAGAAAATGAGGTAATTAGGTGGAAAAGTGGGAAGCCAGAGATTTCCACTCACTCCGTGGGGTGACTGCAAAGTCAGTGGGATAAGTTGTGCGAGGTCACGGAGAAATTGCAAGTTCAGCATGCAAAAGGCAAGAGAAAGTAAAATATGGCTTAAGTGTGATGAAGAGGATAAGGAAGCTTAAGGGTGTTTACACTGATGAGGTTATTGGCTTGGAGTGTGACCCAAGGAGAGGATAAATGGATTGCTCCCACTCCAGGGCTCGGTCTGGGCTGGGAATGCCAATGAATTACAGGGATTGAATCGGCAGCTGCCTTTTCACCTGTGCCGAGTGAGTGCTCTCACTTGTGCCTCTGCGGTTATGGATGCCAGAGAGGGCAAAGACAAGCTGGAATTAATGAAAAAAGACAGCTGAATAAGAGAGGAGCATGTTTTGAGTGCTGGGATAAATCAGGAGTGATGCTGATGAGCAGGGGAGTGATACCCCTGTGAAGCTGGGATACAGTGATCAGAATGAAACCCCTGCCCATTAAGTGAACAAGTCACTTCTGAGCCAGGAGAAAAGCACCAGACTGCCTTAAATTAAAGCTGCTGGAGAGGCATCTTTGCTGTCCAATTTGCACAGGATTTGTTTTGCTTGCAGAATAATTTATTATTATTTCTGTTGCAGTAATGACCACGAGTTCAGCGTTATGTGGGCTGTGTGCTCACTCCCGAGACAAGATCCAAAAATACAGAAATCATGCAGGGGCTGGTGCAAACAATGACAGTGGAGTGGGGAATGTTGGCAATACAAGTGTGTGTTTTATAGACTAAAGGGGTTTTTTTTTCGCCATGCTGGGATTCTGTTCTGTGATTCCATGATGCCCGTGGCACTCTGAAGGTCTCACTGGCCAGGGAAGTTTGTCCTTGGGGCTCCCAGACACCTCCTGGGTGCTCCTTAAACAGAGCTCCGGCTCCCCAGGGAGCAGGGGGTGCCTGGAGAGTGCACAGGGGGATTGAGTCTGTCGGGAAGAGGGGGGAAGAGGATGCACAGCAGAAGGATAAGGGATAAAAATGACCTGATAGAGCTGAAAGGCATCAGCCTCTTGTGGGAGGGTCAGAGCTGAGCTGCTTATTCCAGTTCCCACCTCGACAGAATTTAAATTTCCCTCGAGGGAGGTGGGAGGAGAAGGGAATTCTTTGATTCTCTGGAGTCTCCTGCCAGCCTGGGGGGGTTCAGGATGTCTGATACCCCTCTGGAGGCCACCCCAACCATCCCTGCATGCAGTTACCGAGTACTTGTCAGGTTTTTCTCCTCTGTTGTTATGGAAACAGGCTGTCCAAGGGCTGCTGAGCTAAATCCTGGATGTGCAAGGAGGGCAGGTAGACAGGGAATCCCTCTGTGCAGCTTCAAAGCTGAATAAAGATGAGGATGATATTTTGGAGATATTAAATAAGCACAGAGAGCCAAAAGCACCATCACAGAGGTGTTACTGGGATGGCCACATCCATAGGAAAGCTGCTGGTGCGGATTTCTGCACCCACCTGTAGGCAGGAGCAGCATCACCCTGCTGAATAATGCCAGAGGTTTTGCCTGAGGGGATGCCTCATTGTACCCAATTTTACCTGGTGCACATTTTGTTAGGGCATTCCTTACGTTTCTCCAATTAATTTCATTTTCTTAAATTGCATTTCATTCATTTCCTGAAGTTGCAGGAAAAGATATGAAGATATAAACCTGTGCCAGGGTGACAGTGGTGATTTGGAGAAGGACACCTGAGGAAATTCAACAACTCTCAGTGCTCTAAGGCTGGAGATAATAATTCCAAGTTATCTGGGATAACATGAACCCTCCAAACCTCTGCCTCCAGTTCCTTGCTTGGCAGATCAGACTGGTTTTTTGGAGCTCCAGCCCTGTGTGGAGTCAGGGTGATGTTCTGAGCCCGGGAGCCAAGGCAGTTCTCTCAGAGAGGCTCAATGACTTCTTTCAGAGCTTGCAAGAGGCAGCTGGCAGACACATGGACTCGTGTGAGCAGGCCAGGAAAATGTGTCTGATTGCAGAAAGGGCAAAAGAGATGATTAATCTCCCCAAGGGTTTTCTATCCCACCTTCTCTGCAGTCCATGCATGGAGCAGCTCCTCTCTGCTTCTCCCCCAGCACTCTTGGTTCACTCACTGCTCCCTCCCTCTTTATTCAGCTGCACAGTTTGCCTCAGACTGCTCAAAGGCTGGAAATCAGATTGCAAGATTTAAGCAGAGAGCAAAACCACCACAAGCCAATTCACACAGAGAAAAGAAGAAAGGCAAATTCCCCGGTGCTGTTTCCCTAATGAAGCTCTCACCTTTGTGCAGGAAGGAGATTGTCTGCAGCTCACTCCTCCCAAGGAGCTCTTCAGCTCTCTGCTATAGCTGCTAATCAATGCCCTGGAGAATGCCAGCTGGGATGGAATACTCTAGAGGAGTATTTGTCCACTCAGTAGTACCTGCAGGAAAATCTGTCTCGCTCAGGATGCTGCAAGACCCAACATGTCCAAGTCGGAGTGTGAGGTACGGCTGGACATGGGAATGAAGGAAGAGAAATGGTCGGATTGGAGGAAATTCCAGCCCTGGGAGACAGTCAGGGCTGGTGGAGCCCTCTCCTGGTGCCAGGGCTCCTCCATGGCTCTGGGACCACCAGAGTGGTCTGGCTGCTGGGGCTGGGCTGACACGAGGGGCTGGTGTTCATTCATGTGTGTGTGAAAACTCTGAACCCAAGCAGCACAGCTCACACACTGAGACTGGGGATGTGACCAACCCAGGGGATGTGTCACCACGCCAGGGCTGGCCAGGCACTGAGTGATGCTGCAGTGACCTGGGCACACCATTTCTTCTGGAAGCGCCACAGTCACACATTCTGGTCCGTGAAATGATCCCGGGGTTTCAGCTGACACAAATTCTTTGAATGATGTCAAGTTGGATTCTTCGAGGCTGGTTTTGTGCTGCTCTGCACTGCCTGAGGTTGATGAAACCCAAATTTTCTGGTACAGAGGCCTTGTGGAAGGAGTCTCATGAACAGCAGACCTGGCTCCATGGGCAAAGTCACTGTGGGAGCTTCCCAAATAAATCAATCCACATTTATCAGATCTTCAGAATAGCCATCAGTGTCAGAGTTGTCCTGGGGGCACGAAACAAAGCCCAGAGAAGACCTTTCTTTGCAGGGATTGTCCTTCCCTACAGGATACACAAGCTCTTTCCTCGAGCAGTGTTCTCAGCTGGGAGAAGATGCAAAGGTTTGGTGTGGTTTGACCAGAACTCCTGAGTTCACAAGAAAAGCATTGGGTCACTGTGGCACAGTGACAGAACAAAGCCCTGTGAAGAACAGACAGCTTTTTATTGCTGAATACTGCATCAGACCTCGGATTTCAGTGCAGAACAGGTGAAATCTGGAATTCTACTGTCTGTTCCTCCACCTAAAAATTAAATTACATGGTACTTTTCCACCAGTATTTGCTCCTGAAGGTTACATCTCTTCCAGTTACCCTGAAGTCAGCTGAGAGCCAGTTCTCTTCCAGGTGCACTTCTCAGAGCTGGCAGCAGCTTGGAGAAAAGATTATCATGCAGGAGCAAGATTGCACTAATTGCAGAAATAGGCGTTTCAGCTGCTGCTGGTTTGGAATATTGGAGTGAATTAAAACAAATGAAGCTGACATTAAATAGATATTTAGAAAAAGTACCAAGGGCTGGGGAAGCAGAGCTGTGCACATGATGAAGGAGGTGTTTTATGATGTGCAGTGTTTCGTGATCCCATCACTGTTTGTGTCACTGAGTGCACAAAGTGACCTGAGCCTTTCTAGGAACCTGCCTGTGAGACATGGGATAAATGTCCTGCTGTCCCTGTGCAGCAGCTGCCATGGACCATCAGCCAGTCCTTGGCTCAGCAGGACACCTGGAAGAGAGCAGAGAATCCCAGAGTGGTTTGGGTTGGAAGGAAAAATTTAAAAAATCTTTAAGGATTATCCAGTCCCACCTCCCACCCCTGCCATGGCAGGGACACCTTCCACTGTCCCAAATCCCAGTGTCCAGCCTGGTCTTGGGCACTGCCAGGGATCCAGGGGCAGCCACAGCTGCTCTGGGCACCCTGTGCCAGCCCTGCCTACCCTCCCAGGGAAGGATTTCCTCCTAACCTCTGATCTAAATCCCTCTCCTTTTAGTTTAAAACCATTCCCTGTTATCCACCACTGCCTGCCCACGTAAACAATCACTCTCCAAATCTCATCCCCTCCCCATGGCTCCTGCTGCTTCCCCCAGTTTTCCTCACACCCATCACCCTCGGACTCCGTGAGGAATTCTCATCACCTGGATCAAGTTTCATGCATGGGCTGGAGCTGTTTTCTGCTGCAGGGCAGTTCCTCACTCTCCAGCACACCCAGCCCCACGTGCAGCACTCAGGAGATGCAGAGACAAGCTCCAGTCTACAGCTGCTCCAACAAAAGCTGTTTGGATGCATGAAAGAAATAAATTGGCAAAGCAGAAATCCAAGATGATGCAGAGTATCATAGACATCATCAGAGTGTTTTTTCCCCTCCACAGGGCTCTGAAAGGCCATGACTACTAAACAGCATCTCTAACAAATACATATTTTGGCCTTTATCTCTCAGACTTGAACTAAAACAAATGCACAGACTTGTATTGCATGTAAACACCTTCCTGCATTTAGGGTAAATTCAGCTGTGAGCATTTTCCAGAAAATACTGATAAAATAAAATATCCTCAGGGAACTCTATCCTCTTCCTTCAGCTACTCCTTACACATCTTCCTCTAACAGTTCATCCATCTGAATTTTGAATCCCAGGCATTGATGAGGACTGAAAAATTTTGCCAAAACCCAACTGTTTTAAAACCAGGGCCCAGAAATGTTTCATCAGTGGCAAACATTTGTGAGACTCAGTGAGGTAAAAGCAGAACTGGATCTAAGTGGGTTGAAAGGTGCTACACAGAAAGATTCAGAGGATAAATTGCTAATTGGGTGGGGGAGAAGGGTTTTCTCAGCACTCTTGCTTATAATCTTCCATTTACATAGCAGAATAATCTCAAAATAGGGATTATTATAATGTATGAAGGCCTAATTGAAAGAAGATGCTGTGGTTAACTCAGGAACCGTTTAATTTCCAATGCTTTTATCATCCCCTGATGTGAATCCACATTTAAACATGGAGGAAAAATACATGGTGTATTCAGGAACAAACAAAGGTATTGTCTGACATAAGAAGCTTATGTAAATGTGGGATGGCAGAGCTCCTTTTGCCATAAACCTTTCAAATACCTCAATAAATCATGAAGAGAAAAAAAAAAAATAAATTCTGTCTTTTAAGGAGGTTTGCCATGAGATTTCACCTGTCCATGACTGAGGACAGCACTCTTCAGGGTAAGGAAAAAAAAAAAAAAAGTATATATTTGCTAGAATCTTCCTAGACAGCAAATTGCAAATAAAATATCAGCTTTTATGTGTTTCCATTATGGATCCACTGACAATTTGCTGATTTTCAAGGCAAGCAGGGCTGGATGCACCTGCATGGGTGTTTCACATCCTTTCAATCCCCCTTTCCAAGCCAGTAGATTTAGTTTTGATTTTAAAGACAGAGAGACATAAAAATAATTTAAAAAAATGTAAAAGGTTCCTGTACTCCAGTGTCTTAAAGCTTTTGAATGTAACACAGTGAGAAAAACACAGGACCAGAAACCCTGGATATTTCCATTCTACCCAGTACAGCAGCTATCCTGTGATATAATCTCAGGAAATTTCTTCACCTCCTTCTCTCCCTTGCTGTTCTCACCTTTAATTTTCCTTTTAGACCAGAAGTACCTTGGAGAAGGAGCCTCGTGCTCCTAAATATGAACAGAATCCTTTAGCTCCCAGTGTTCTGCTCCCAGTTGTTCTTGGAAGCCCAACAATTCTAATTACATGGAGGCAGGATGCATGTGGATGCAACATTACTTTGTTCAGCCTAATCAGCTCAATTCCATCACTGGAATCTCTCTCAATTATAGGAGAATCCATGTGTGCCACTGAGACAGCAGGAATCAATCCTAATTAATCCCCACTGCCTGCACCATTCCCCTGTGCAAACAGAGAGGTGAGGTGTTCCCAACCTGGGAGGGAATTGTGGATTCCTTCTTCTGGGAATCTCTTATTGCCCTGTCAGGAAAAGCTTGTGCTGTATACCAGCACTATTTGTGGCAGAAAGAGTAATATAATGAGTGCTTCAAGCAGAAAAACAATTGGAAGAATCATCAGAGGCTTTTCTAGAGAGAGCAGGGTATGACCCACCTCTGTTCTGAGCAATGGATCCGTGGATTCATCCTTGTCTGAGAAAATAGAAAGAAAAAATTGAGTTCCCTGAGTTTCATGCCAAGTGAGAACTTCATAAAATCATTTCCTCTTCCTGAGAGAAAAGGCTAAATTTTGTGTTCTTAGGAAATCACATCACAAACCGGCACCAAACCAAAATTCCCCTGGGGGTGAGCAGTGGGTTTCCCCACACCTCCTGAGGCGTGGAGCAGGAGGGAGCTGTGAGCCCTGGCTGAGAGGGACAGGATCAGGTCACCAACACTGCCCCACACCTGGCAGCACCTCCTGGTTCACTCTGCAGCACCTCCAGGCTGCCCAGGGACGAGCAGGGAGTTGGTTTGATACCAAGAGCATCAATGACATGCACAGACGATTTTAGAGTGCTGTAAGTACCTCTCGAGCATCCCTGGCAATCAGGCTTCAAGTCTGTGTGTACTCTTACAAAATGAGGGAATGAAGGGGTTGCAGTGTTCCCTTTAATCATCTTTATTTGGATATTGGGCTCCTGAATGTGCTGCTTCCTGCACTGGAGTCAATTTGAGCTACAAAAGACACGGAGCACTGGCTCCCCAAAAGGGCCATGGAAAGGGGTGAGCCCCTGCTCCCAGCTCTGACCCCAGCACACAAACCTGCTCCCATTTTTATCCTCCCTGCTCTGCCTTATCTGCTATAAACCCACGCAGGAATTGGAAAGCTGCTGCGTCTCAGAGAATGAGTTTTGTCCGCAGCATTTACACGAATCAGAAATGAGTGAAATTCTTCAGCAGAGCTGAAAAGTCAGGAGAAGAGGGCAATGAACCAGAATGGCACCCAAAACCCTCCTGCAGCACAGCATCCTCCCTCTGTTTGGTGCAAAGACAGAATGCTGCTTATTCCTGACAGGAACTGCACTTCCAGCAGTCATACCCATGTATCAAAGAACACGGAAGGAAATATAAAACAAAATTGGAGGAGACAGTCAGCAAGATTTTGTTGCAAACTTACATTTGAGATCAAAAGATCAGTTCAGATTTCCAGCTCTCCTTGTCCTAAGGATAAGCTGAACGATGCCACTCTGCTCCAGGGCCAGACCTGGAAAATATACAAATCCTTTGCTATAATTTGACCTTGCAAAGATCTTTCACAATGGGGATTATGGTGTTGGCAGAAGATTATTCTGCACCTGTTTCTGTGACATTTGTGCCTCTCAGAGGAAGTGCAAATACTGGTGACATCAACCCTCAGCAGTGCCTTGTCACTCCTGTGGAGACAGAGCTGGGATGCAAAGAGAAAGAAGGGAAAAGGTGATGAAGAAATAAAAACAGAAGCAGAAACTGGAAAGCTTTTTTCCCCATCCACCACTTCTACCAACAAAGCAAAACAAAAGACGCACAGGAAAAATCAATAGAAGGTGATGAAAAGAAAAACACGTTGGAAACGTACACAGGGAGATGCAGGAACGCCCTGGCATTTATTCTAAAGTCATATAAAAAACTGCATCTCTTTAAAATATTGGGAAAGCCTGGATGAAACATGTCTGAGATAAAGGATTGCTGAGATGGAAGTGACTGACAATATCCAGGGGGAAAAGTGACAGATGAACACCAGGCTGTTGCAGCTGGATGCTCTGACTGAAGTTAGATGTTTCTTAGCAGGAGAGAAATGTAATAACTTTGGAAAGAAAACTGAATAAAGCTGGAAAATGTCCTCTGTGGAATGAGTGAGAGGCTGCTGTCACAAGACTGACAACAAAGCTGGAAGCCAGCTTGGAATCCCAGTTTTCAAGTGGGGTGAAGCCCTTCCTTTTCTCCCTGTTAACTTCCAACCACCCATAAATGGGATTAAAGGACCCAGTAAAATTCTTATCATTTTCGGGGTTTCTTACCTGTATTTTCATACCAGGCTATTCCTGATACCCAATATTAAGTTCCCCCACCCCTTGGCTGCTGATGGGAAGTGGGAACTTCTAATAAATAATTTTGCAGGGCTGTTATAAAAATCTCATTCTGTCTTTAATAAATACTGTCTTTGATATGGATCACATCTCCAAAAATAGAGCTCTCCTATGAAAAAGAAGTGGGTTTTATTGATTCAACAACACAGTGTGCCACAAGCAAATCTCAAGCTGAAAAATCTGAAATGGACATATTTCTTTTAAATAACCCTGAATCTTGTAATCCTATCTAGATAACAGCAACATTGAAAGAAATAAATCTAAGCTTTGTACCTGTGTGATACCAAAATCTGCTTGATTTCAGCTGGACCATAAACACATCAGTGACCCAAATCCCTGTTTCTGTAGACAGGTTGAAATTTAATTTATAAAAAAAACATAAGCTATTTTAAAAAAATATTTCCCAGTTTTTCATCTTCATTCATTCTGATGCACATATTTAAGTAGTTTCCAGTTTTTCAGTTTTCTTGGCCAAGCAGAAATATTTATTATACTTGTAAAGTTTATATTAGCCTGTAGCAAAGCAATTTATCATTACTATACATGGTTGACTTTGCTGATTATTAAAATACTGTTAAAGTGAAAACTGTTCATCTCACCACTCTTCTCTAATTTATTCCCGTTGTTTGACTTCAGTTGGAATAATTCTGAAAAATAATACATCAGAGTCAGAAATTGAGACAGGGGATGGATAGACAGCAAGGTGAGATGTGCCTGGTTGGTGATCCTGAGATGTTCTGAGAGGTTTTGGGGCTGGGTAAAAATGGAAAATGGGAAAATGAGGCTCAGGGGGGACCCTGTGGCTCTACACAATTCCCTGACAGGAGGGGATAGCTGGGAGGGATTTGGGATCTGCTCCAGGGAACAGAGACAGGAGGAGAGGGAACAGCCTCAGGCTGGGCAGGAGAGGCTCAGGGTGGACATCAGCAGGAATTTCCCCATGGAAAGGGTGGCCAGGGATTGGAACTGCCCAGGGAGGTTTGGATCCACATCCCTGGAGTGGCCAAGGAAAGGCTGGAGGTGACACTCAGAGCTCAACGTGGGGATCAGGCACAACTTGGGCTCGATGGTCCTGGAGGGATTTTCCAACCTCAGTGATTCTGGGATTCTGTGAAAAATTACCCAGGGATGAGGGAACACATCAGGGCAGCTGTCACAGCTCCACTGCAAACACAGCACAGCCACACAGGCTGCCCAGAGCTGTTGTTCCTGCCACACCTTTAGTTTTTTTTGTATGGAGAAGGTTTTGGAGAAAACAGAGTAATTTTTAAAAAGCTCATGGGAGGGACTTAAAGCTCGAGGTGTACAAAGAAGGAAAGAAGATAAATATTCTAGATCTTTTTTCCAATCTAATAAAAATCAAGGAATCATTAAAGCTGGAAAAGCCCTCTAAGGTCATTGAGTCCAACCATTCCATGCCCCCAGCATTGCCAAGGCCACCACTGACCCATGCCCCCAGGTGCCACATCCACACATTTGTTCAATCCCTCCAGGGATGGGGATTCCACCACTTCCCTGGCAGGCTGTTTCAATGCCTGGCCACCCTTTAAGTGAATAATTTTTTCTTAAGTGAAGAAATTTTTCATAATATCCAAAATTCCCTTGGTTGAACTTGAAGCCATAACAAAACGTGTTAGGTTCCCATATCCCCATTGAACATAGGAATAGATAAGACAAATTTTTACTGTCTAAAACATCTCCTTAATGTCTCATTTTACAACCCCTGTGGCTGAATTTGAGCTGGAATTTTGCAGTCCAGGTTTCCAACCAGCAGGGATTATTTATGGCTGAACCAACAACTTCTCTATGCAAAGGACTGTGATGGCAACACTGAGAGAACGGCCCCCAAAAGCTGCAGCAGGTTCTGCTGAAAGTTTTGGGTTAAGCATCGCCCCTCCTTTGGTCTGGGAATCTTGTAAAATTAAAACATGACAAAATCCAAATGCTGGTAAGCAGATAAGAGCAGTGAGCTCGTTATTCTGGTCTTTTCATTCCCCAGCACTTACATTCTCCTCTATCGTTTGCTGTCTTTGTAGTGATAACTCACATCATTTTAGAGTTGCACAAAATGAGATTTTCAACAAAACAGTTATTTCTCAATCTGAATTAACCATGTTTTAGGTAATATTTCCACATCTTCTCTTTTTCCTGAAGTTGAACCTCAGGTCAAGTTGTGCACTGCTCTTCTCTGACAACAATTGCCCCAATCAGAGTGGTCGCTTTACTTCTTAATGAGCTGATTTTTGTTCTGTTTCTTCCCCTGCGTTATCTTGAAATGCAGAAGATGGTAATTTACTTTAGTGCACAGCAAATCCCCTCCAGTAAGAAATACATTCTTCTGAAGCCAGAGTGGCCAATAGCAAATAAAGTTCAGTTCTTTGGGTGATGTCAAAACAATGCCTGATGGAAACAAAGGCAGCTGCTTTGATTTATATTGCCTTCCCCCAGCACTACAAGCCAGCTCTCTGCTTGCCCTTTTCTCTGCAGTTGCACATTAAGCTGAATGCTTTAGAGATTTTCCCCAACAACTCCCAGATCTCTTTCCTAATCAGTATTCGGCACATCTTTCCTCCAGCAGATGCGCGATTTTGCCCCTTTGTTCCAAGATTCATTGTTCTCCATTAGCTGCAGTTGCCATTTATTAGTCCAGATGCAGGAACGATCCGAGGACCCCGTGTGAGCCGGGGTGTTCACACCCACCCACCCACCCGGCTGTGCTCCACGTCAGATATCATCATTAAATATCATCAGATATTTAAATGTATGCACCGAGACCACGTGAGATTTATGATGTCCCCCAAATGTGCATATGATGGCAAAACGTGATTTTCAGCTAAAAGGGAGCTGTCTTCAAAGGTGGTTTTTGAAGATTTGCTCTTCTGCAGCTTTGAGAGCACAAAAATCCACAGGAGCAGATCCTCAGCTGGTGAGAAATCTTGTTAGGATTAATGCTGCTTGGGTTGATTTACACCAGGTAAGGGTGTGATCAATTAAATCTGTGCTGTGAACTATATGATTTTTAAATGAAAATTTAAATGTAGTCATGCTAGGCCACAATACTCTTTTGGGGGGGGGGAAAGAGACAAAAAAATTAAGGAAACACTGGGATAATCCATTCTGGAAACACAGACAAATTGGTAGGAAATGGAGTGTGTCATGCTTAAATATTCAAACTACTGATAATATAAACAGGTGGCAACCATATAATATAATGTACATTAACTTGGAATTCTGTAGACACTTGGATGATAGGAAAATAGGATTTCACATCGTATTAGCCCACTGGTCCATGAAATCCTATATCCTTTCAACACTGGCTAGTAGTTAATTCCTCAGTGGAAGACAATCCTGCCTCTCCTAATGCACCTCAGAAACACAAAAAGCCCCAAGACACAAGAAGCAAGAAAACCAAGTGCACGACAGCCCTTCAAAAATTTGGGAGAAGGCAAAAATGAGAGCTGATAATTTAATTAAGAGCACAGATTGGCTGTGGTAGAGCCAAGCTCAGCTGGGTGTTGGGTGGCTGGAAGTGAGCAGTGCTTTCCCCCCTCGGGTTACAACCCAGCTCCCCATCAACCCTGCCTCAAATTTATGATCCCAGTGCCCTTTGTAAATAAAGATGTTTCCACTTCATAAAGCCAAGGGTATTACTGGCAGTCACTCTCCCCATTCTCCAAGGGTGGCAACTCAGTGACCCTTCCCTTGTGACAGTGCCTCAAACCAGAGCTGGGAGTCACTGTTTAGGGCCAGGTTCAGATAAAATCTGACAGATAATGTCAGACCCAGTGAATATTTTCTTGACTAGAACAGAAATAACTCTGGGTTTAAATTAAAATAAATATTCTGGAATATTCTGGCTGCATCTCTGGAGGTCTCCAAGGCCAGGTTGGACGGGGCTTGGAGCAATCTGGGATAGTGGAAGGTGTCCCTGCCATGGCAGGGGGTGGAATGGGTGATTCCAACCCAGACCATTCTGGCATTCTGTGATATTACCTTAAAGGTGTGTTCACATTGGAGCATTGTCAGAGCCCTTCAAAAGGAACTGCTCCTCCTTCAGCAGGACCCCCAGCATCCTGTCCCCTCCTGCCCCACACCCAGGCTGGGGTTTGCATCCTCTTTGAGAGAAAGCAAACCCCCACAGCAGCCAGGGGAAGCATCTCAAGAGCCAACACAAAACCATATCTTTGTATCTTATCTTTTATCATACCTGAACTCAAACAATGCCATTTTCCTGCTAGAGCTGGGTATGGATCCTGTAGCACAGCATGGGCACTTCTTTCCTTTGCTCCCCAAGGATTTTTTCCCTAATACACACCGACAAAATAACAATTTTCGATGAAATGGACTCAGAACTGTAAACTGTTCTAAAAGCTGAACTCAGGCAGGAGCTAATGATGCAGTGGATTTACTAAGCCAGGTCTAAGCCCACAAGAGTGATGGCACAAAATATCCTGTCCAATACTTTTTTAATAGACTTTGGATAACAACAATACACAGAAAAGCATCATTGAATATCTTAAATGATCCATCTTGTCATGCTATGGCTTCATCTCACATGATCTATTGCTTTACAGCATGCCATTATGTATAGAGAAAAACCAGCTTGTAATAAATTACCACAGCACTATTTACTCCTCAATATCTGCTTCCTTTCCCATTTAACCCATGCCAGTGCCAGCCCATTCCCAAAAGCATGGATCCTTCTCCTGATCTTTGTGAGCCCTTTATAAGCACAAATATTTGTGATTTCTCTCCTGGATAGCAAATATTCAATGTATGACCACCAGACCTCAAGTCTTACTGATAAACACCAGAATTATAAAGAATTTTGACCCACTTTTGAAGAAGATGGGCAATTCAAATCCTACAGCTGTGAGGAAAGGAACAAAATACCTTAGACAAGCTGTCTTAATTCCCTCACGTGTTTTGGAAACCTTCTTGATAACACTTGCCTTGAAACATGTTCTTGGTAAGGAGCTCAAACCTGGATCCCACTCGTGCTCTTGGTGCCATTCCTGCACTGTGATACTGCCAAGAGCAGATGGCTTTTGGCTTTTCCAAGGTGGATATTTCTCCTCCCCACAGCCTGAAATTGCACAGTGAATCCTGGGAATCACAGAGTTAAAAGGAGATCTGGAGCTGTTCTAAAAATGAAGATCCCATAGAAATGCCAGAATAGGGCAGGCACCAAACCCTTCCTCATTTATGGAGCAGCAATTCATGTGCAGATCCCAGCAGTGCTCCAGATCAAGGCTGCAATCTCCTGCATTTGTCAGGCTGGAATTCCTAAACAGCTTCCTCTCTCCCCTTATAAATGACATCTTTTGATATGTGTTATCACATTTTTCCATTCAAATTCCATTGAAACTGCAGAGCAGCATAACAAAACACAGAATTATTCCTGCTAGATTCAGCAACTGGAATTAAAGAGGATTTTTTTTCTTCTTGAACATAATTGTAATATTTCATATTCCTTCTACAAAGAGCAGGATTTAATGGCTGTTATGGATTTTTCACCCCCTTAGAGAATTTCTGAAAAATTCAATTATTTTTGGAGACTGCTTGGGTTTCTATCTCCCAGTGATGATGAATTACCCATTGTAGTGGCCGACTTAAAAACAATACACAAAAATCAATTGTTTGACAAAAGGAAAAACACAGAGAACCTGGGATTGGCACACACTGCCTTTGCCCTGAGTTTAAAAATGCACTAATTTCAATCATTTTGCCTTTTTTAACCACTTTCTGCAGCAGCATCTGATTACATTGCAGCTTTTTTGCTTTCCCATGGAGAGTGACTTCGCCAACAAGATGATTTGCCATCAAGAAATTGTAATTAACTTAATGAACTTTGTCTTTTAAACAGTTGGAGATTTGAGAGCTAAGAGTAATGATTATTCACAAGTAGCAGAGTTTGGTTTCAAACATACATATTCAGTGCCAGATATCAGCAATTTGCATCTTTACATTTTCATGTTCAGACCTGCTGACTGTCTAAGGAATAATGTTATGCACCAAATAATAGCTTTAGAAATAACAATAAATAACATTGAAAATGGAATTGAAGTAATGCCTCCTATAATGAAGAGTTTTGAGCTCAAATCTGATGATAAAAGAACAACATTGCACCAGACCACAGCAAGAGTCCTTCTGTGGAGCCCTGAGATCCAGTTGGAAGCCAACTTTTTATTCTGTCCATGAATCTACAGACAAATTATATCTCCTACTTCGGGCTGAGCAGCATAAATTGTCAAGAAAAAATATAGTTAGCCTGGAGCTATCAGTACAGATTGTTGGGATGCCAAGTGCTGAGGCTGATTTCCCTTCTCTAGAAGTATTTTATATTAATCTGATGCTAAAGAAATCCAAAGTATTGCATTGGTAAAGCGTGGCTGGGTTCAGTGCTGGGATTTCCCACTGCACACACTCAGCCTGCTCTCATCCCCACACCATCAGATTTTTGGGGTTGGGGGCTTTGGCCATAAATTTCTCAGCAACTTTGAAGAAAATTATGACTTTTTACAGGGAGTAAAGGAAGTGTAAGACACACCTGCAATGTTCTCCCTCTCTGAGGAAGGCTCAGCATCTTCTCCAGGACAGACCCAGCTCCTTCTCTCTAAAATTCCTTACAGGGAACTCTGGCTCTAAACAGGACCCTCTACAATATCCCCAGTGGAAAAGGAAAGGTGGAAATGTTTAGAAGTGGGTTTGGATGGGATTTTGGGCAGGAATTGTTCCCTGTGAGGGTGGGCAGGGCTGGCACAGGGTGCCCAGAGCAGCTGTGGCTGCCCCTGGATCCCTGGCAGTGCCCAAGGCCAGGCTGGACATTGGGATTTGGGACAGTGGGAGGTGTCCCTGCCATGGGAAGTGGGAATGGGTGATCTTTGAGGTCTCTTCCAACACAAACCATTAACTCATTCTATAATTTACCATCCATCTTGAAGCAGTGAGCAGTGTGCATCATCCCATTGGCACATGGAAAGACACATCTTTCAGGCAGACCTGTAATTTATCCTGCCCTAAAAAAGCATCAAATGAAACACCAGCACAGACTTGCACACTGCTCGAGACAGGGATGACCCTCACATCTGCCTTGGGATGTCCTCTACACCAAGGAAAACAAAATACTGGGGAAGAGTGAGTGATACACCTCTGACATGGAAAGTGTGAATGGAGTGCATTGAAATTCCATGGCCAGCTTGCCAATTTTAATGGGTGACCTCATCTCTGACACCTTGAAATGATTGTTTCCTAAAAAAACCCCAAAAACCCAGCATGAATATTTTTCAGGGGATATCTCTTTACCTTGCATGGCTTGGGTGAAGAGATTTGCCAGAACATGTGTTGTTGTTTGTATGTGTTGCATCACCATTTATTACTTTTCCATTTGGAGGGCTTTTTCCTAATTATTACCAAGATATTTCCAGTCTAGGAATTATATTCCCCTTTTGAATGTCACTCCATGGATCTCCTGCCACAGATACAATTACATTGCCACTGAAAAACAAGGAAGTTTAATCTCAAAGCTCTTACTCACTTGAATAACCTCAGAGTCAAAGCAGTGGGACCCAGCTCCTCATTACATCCCTGGAAGGAATTTTGTGATAATGCTGAGTATCTTCACTGAGGACCCTCCATGACCCCCTTCTGTTGGAGGGGGCTTCACAAAAACTCCAAAATCCCTGCAGATGTGGGGTCCTGCCTCCCTTCCTGCAGAGAGGAACCAAAGTGACCACGCTGCTCTCAGCTCTCTATAAAGGAATCTTCCCCCAGTGGTTTTCACCCTGCTGAGTTACAAAAGGGAAATGCTGAGCAATTCCTAAGGTAGGAACAAAAGTTTTCTCCCTGTAGCAGCTGCAGGGTTTGGATCCCACTATAAATTGTAGATTAATTTGTGGGCATGAAAGCATGAAATTCTGGTAATGCTATTAACCCATCATTTTTATGTAAGGGCTGTCTGAAATACAAAACGTTGCTAAAACATCTTCCTAGCACGGATATGGCTCATCCCAACTCCACTTCAGGCAGATTCAGCTGCCCAAATTAAGTTCTACTAAAGAATAATTGCATTTACATGCAGGTTTTTGCCAGTACAAACGTGCAGATTTCCATGTGTGGCACACCCAAACTCCAAATTCCTCAGCACTTCTGCCATTCGCAGAATTAAATGTTAGGTGAAGTCCTTCAATAGTACAAGTGCAAAAATAAGCGTTCTCATCTTTGGAGCAGTTTGAACTGTAGGAGTCGATGGAAAATCAAAACGGAAATTGTTCACGTGTAAAGATGTAGAGGGTAATGGTGAGGGAATTCTGCATTGATCCCTCTTTAACCAACAGCAGAGCTCACCCCCAGCACGACAGGAACGAGGCAAAGGCACCACTATGGGTAGGAAAGACAAAGGAAAAAGAAACAGAGCTATAAACCAGCAAATATTTTCGATAAAAAGCCACCCCCATGAATTAAAGCTCCACCACACATGAAGAAGTTTGTCTCAGCAGCAGGGACAGTGAAGAGCTGAGGGTCCCACAGGACAGGCAGAGGTGCCAGCAGGTTCATTAAACCCAAACTTGGCTGGAGGGTGGTCACAGCCCAGCTCCAAATCACCTGATGTCTAGAGGCTTAATCTGGGCTCAGGTAACATCATTTTTGTTGCAATCTTCATTATCTCTGGGCTAAAATACAACCCTCTACCCCATTTTAAAACACACTCAGGCACATTATTTGGGGGGAATAAAGACAAATCCTGTCCCTGCAGAGTGCAAAGCAGCTGACAGCATTTCCCGACAAATTCCTTGAGGGCAGAAATCAGTGACAGAAATGAGTGAATCCCTCACCTGCCCTGCCAGCAGCACTGCCCAGCCAGCCCTGGGCTCACTCACACTGCAGATTTCACTGCTTTAATTTACATGTGCCATGGCTCTGGTACTTTCTGTGAGGCTTTCTGAAAACCAGGACAGCTTTGATGATCATTTCTGGGCTGGAGCTGTTATTAAGTGTGTGTGCTTCTTGCCTTTTCCTAGAGCAGAATCACTGAGAAAATGCTCTGTACAGACAGAATTTATGAGGGCGAGCACTTGTAGGGACATTCAGAGACAGGCTGAGCCCCCTCCACGTGCTGAAATAGGAAAGATCAAGAGTTTTTATGATCAGGAGGTGGAGGACAACGTTGTCACCATTCAGCATCTTTCCCTGCATTGCCAGGGGCAGGCACATTTCCATACAGCTGGAAACAGTAATTAATTAATTAAGGTTCCCTTTTAGGGAATTCCTTAAGGGATCTTCACTACCCCCTAAGTTAGGCACTGCCTGAGCAGGGACATGCAAACAGAGCAGTTTTTAAAGAAAAACAGCACCTCACCTACCCCCAAAAAAAGAAAGGAGGAAAGAAAAAATGAAGAGAGAGCAAAAAGAAATCCCAACCTTTTTTTCTTTTAGCACCGTATTTACTGTGTGAACCATATTTCTGATGTATACCAGCTTTATGGTGCGTGTAAATGCCCCAGCATCTACCTGATTGTTATCCTTGATGTTTGCACCAAGTGAACCAGAGCATAACCCTGAAAATAAAAACAAAATAGACCTTGGTGAGCTCAGGGATTTCCCTGCAAACAGCATCCACCTGAGAGAGGTGATGGACTGGGACACTCCATGCTCCAGTCTGCAGCCCTCCACATTTCTTCTTTCTGTTTCTCACACAGGTTTTGATGCCTCCTCCATTTCCAGTTTCTCATTAAACTCCAATTTAGCAAATATTTCACTCCAGTGTGCCCCAATTTCTTCCAGTTTTTGGAAATTTGGAATTTCCACAGGCTTTGTAGACAGAGCCAGCCTCAGGAAGAGCCTGCAGAGACTCACAGTTCGCTGCAGGAATTTTGCACAAGCGTTGCTCATGGCGATGAACTGGAAATTCCATGTGTTCCTTATCAAAATCACACTTAATTGCAGCTAATTCCAGGGCTATCAGAGGAAGTGTTTGCACATTGCCTTATCACAGCCCCACTGGCAGCCACTTGCACTTGCTTTCCCATTTATTTCATATCCAGTTCAAAGCTGCCTGCCTTGGAATTCTCCACGGACCATTTCCAGCCATCTTCACAGATCTGGTGCCCATGTTCAGTTTCATTGAAGTCCCTGGGAAAATTTCCATTGATTTTAATTGAACAGGCTGTTCAGCTTTTTTTTTTTTCCCACCCCTCTGGCAATGAAACACTCCAACCACAAAATTCAAGACCATGGGAGTGTGGGTCTCCTATTTTGTGGTGAAACTGAAAATCACCCTGGATTTTGTGAGATTTGCAAATAGGAAACATTTGGTGTGTTTTCCTCCTGAAACACACACCAGTTGTGTAATGGGGCTGAAGTGTGAAACTGCTGTGAATTATGCATTGAGGTTGGCTAGAACAGGACTTGGGAAAACAAAATTTATTTTACATTTTATGTTACACTGTCAATTTTCTTAAGTTTGTCTGCTGCTTTTTTCTTCTCCAGGGAAAAAAAAATTAAAAAATCATAATTTCCACATGATTACTAAACCAGTGGATCATACCATGATTTGAAATATGGTTTCAGGCAGGGCAGATTTATTCCTATCTAGCCTATAATCATTTTCATGGAACCATGCAATCATTAAGGTTGGAAAAGACCACCAAAATCAAGTCCAACCATTGAATGAATACACACGAGAACATTTGAGCCCCTAGATCTTCTTTCTCTGCAAAACAGAACTTTTAAAGATGAAAAGGGGACATTGGCCATGACCCTCATCCTTTCTGAAGTATGGGAAGAAAAGAACAGGATGTGGAGGCAGCCAGAGAAGACGTGTTGGGTGACAGTGATGGATGCTCAGTGATTCCCAAATAATTGTGCCCCAATTCCAGGCATCCCCTCCTGGGATTCCTTCCCTCTTGGGCAGGAAGATTCCTTATCCTGGTCAAATTCTGTGAATATTTTGCTGGCAGCATTAAAAGTCTTCTTCCCCCAAGTGCTGTGACAGAGCTCGTTCAGATTTAGGGGCACTGGCCAACAGTGGGATGCCTCCCATGGTAATGAAAAGAAATGTACAACCAAAGAAATGCAGAAAGTTCAAGTCTACCTCAGGTTCACTGGTTTCTGCTCTATTCTCTCATGCTGTTCATCTCCTCACAATGCAGGGCTGCAGAATTCAAACACATTTTCTCCAGGCGTCTTTTGCTGTACAAAACAAGGTTGATTCAATTAAAAAAAAATCCCCAAAACGCAACAAAACCTCACCAAAAATCCAAAAGAAACAAATAAAACCCCACCACCAACCAGAAAAATCCCAAATCTCTGAAATATTACATGCTGCCCCTCCAAAAAACCCCAAACCCTGCCCAAACCACCAAATAAAGCCCAAAGCCAAACTGTCCCTTTTGCACTCAAGTATCCTAACATGGAGATTCCCCACACAGCCAAGCAAAACCAAATAATTACCTGGATTCCTCACAAAATGAAGCCCTGACAGCATCAAATTTCAAAATTTTTACCCCTGACAGAGCAAAAAGCAACCCCTCCTCCACTCCTGGCCAGGGCAAATAGGCATTGCTTAATGATTGGTATTCCCCTGCAGCCAACAGAGTGTTAATTGAATGGATTCCATTACCATAGGAATAGCAAAAACCAGATTAAAAACCAAGCCAGCTGTAAAGTGAGCCAATGATTTTAATGGGAAGGAAATAAAGGCTGGCAATTGCGTGGTGAAGTGCATCAAAATGTTAATTGCTTGCAGTCACATCCTTCTGAACTAGTGGAGAGGGTGATGGAGATAAGGTCTGAAAAAGCCCAGCAGAAGTTCTGGGCCTTGGTAATTCTGCAGTGGAAATGAATGGGTAAAATGAGGAATACCTGCAGCAGTGTGGAATTTATGTTGGAATAAGTTCCAAAATAGCACTTTTTGCTTTTGATTTTACATCTGTGTACAGCTATGTACATCGATTTCAACCTGGAAGCTGAAATAGATGTACGTAGATTTTTATTCTATGTACTTGATTTATTCTTGCCTTGATTTTATGCAAGGTTCCTTAGTGCAGCCAAGCAGGGCCAACTTGAGAAGCAAACATGACTGGCAGCACTGGTTTCTCCCCAAAACACAGTTTCCAGACCAAAATTAGTTGCACATTACATCAACACCTCAAAAAACACATTCACAGCAAGCTGCAGAATGATCCTTCCCAGGATCCACCCTGGACTCCTCTTAGAAAATCCCTGTTTTCTGTGATCCACAGAGAAGAGCATTTTAGTCAAGTCACCTGAGGCAGAAGGAACTGTGGAAAATCCAGCCTTAAATACAAATTCCAAGTTGTTCTGAATTTTCTCACCTTATGGTATCCAGGCCATCCTATCCAGGTGTTTTGTAAAGGGCTGAGCACACCTGCAGCCTGATCCTGAGTGTGTTTGGTTTTAGGAAGTGGCTGTAGGATAAATGTCCTTCTCACTGGCAATGAGAAACAGGACACAGTAAAAAGGATTATTGAAGAAAATCCTACTGCATTCCTGATGGAATCGTGGTCCTTGCAGCCTCCCTAAATGATAAGGGATGGAGTATTGATTTTAGTCAGACAAATCCCAAAATTACAGGAGGCTGTCCAAGTCACACAGAGCACCCTGATGAGATCCTCTCAGCTCTCATTCCTTACTCATAACCACAGAACATCCTCAAAACTGCCCTGACGGGAGCATGGAGCAGCGAGAGTCTGGGGAATTTCAAAATGTCAGAAATATGCAAATATTACAGATTAGTATTCCACGGAGAGCCATGATTTCCAGTGTTTGCACTCATTTTAGCATTCCTTTTAAATTAAAGGCACAAAAGGTAAGCTGGCAGCATCCAGATGGTTTAAAGGGTTTGAAACATCCTTATTCATCATTTCGATTTTTTTTCTAACAGGACCTATTTAGAACCCATTTTTTGTGCTCTTTCAAAGGTAACAGGATTCGGTCTGGAAAGGAAATTCAGCAGGTGATTCGATTTAACGGGTTTGCATATTTGAAACACAAATAATACAAGTTAATACCATGCCTTCAGAAATGTGCACATACCTTGATGCACAGGCACTGAGGTGTGTGGGGAGGATTGCAAGGGAGCAAACCTGAATTCCCCAGGGAACAGGCACAGGAGGAAGGCGCCACTTAGGAGAGCCCTGGAGTGGATCCGAGGAGCATCGCTGCACTCCAGTAAATGCAGCTGGGGGGAGATGAGGGATGTGACACTTGCACTGCACTGCCAGCTGCCAGAGCTAGCTCTAGGAGGGGAGATGCAGGAAGGGAATCAGGCATTTGGAAAAAAAAAAAAATAGGTTAAAAACATCCCCAGACTGAGGGAGGGGTGGGTTTAGAGCAGCCAGCAGCAAACAGTGACCAAACTCACGCTGCTCTCTGACCTACAAAGGTCTCCCGTTCCTGGGGAATTTTGGGTTCAATTTCATCTTTAGAAGTTGACTGAAATGCAGAGAAATTGCTGTGGGTCTGGCCTGGAGAGGGGAAAGATCCACATTCCCTTTGCTTGAAAAGCAGCTGGCAAACATCAGAGCAGCACCACGGGTCAGGATGGGGGTAAACCCAAACTGGTCAGCGATGCTGGAGCTGGGTATCCTCATTCCCCACATCCCACGGGGTGTCCTGAGCTGTGAGCTTTCCTCTCCCCCTGACTTTTACCTTTTCCTGGCCTCAGAACTCACACCTTTGCTATGACAGCCTCGAGCAGTGAGCTCTGCTTGTCCTCACCAAGCTGTGAGCAGATACTGCTATGGCAATAAAAGGATGCCGGGTGCTCCTCTTCCTCCCTCAGCTCCCAGGGCTTCATGGATCCTGTAATTCCCAGAGGTTCTGGGGTCTCCTCCTGCCCCACCGTTGCCCAGACACAGCTGCTTTGTTGGCTCCTGGAATGAAAAGCCGGGAGCTGTGCCTTGTTGAGCTGGCCCCAGAGCAAACCTGTTGCCCAGCCCAGCTCAGGTGGAGCCCATATGGCATCTGCAGCTCCTTTGGGGCAGCTCCAGCACGTGCTGAGCTCCAGCAGCCAGCGAGCTGGGAATTTAGATGTCAAAGAGAAGATGAAAGACATCTATTTCTCCCTCTTAAAGATGTTTGTCCCTTCCCTGTGGCTTCAAGGACTCGGTTCTTGTGTGCCCACCAGCACATTCCTGGTGCAGCCTCACCAGTTAATGGATTTCCCCTTGCTGAGCAGGGGGAAAACACAGGAAAACAACCCAAAGAAACAAAAGCTTATCCTATTAGCTACTTGTCAATTATCCTTGATGGGTGATTGTGCCAGTGGCCAGGGGGAGATGCTGGCAGGTGTAATTACTGGCTCCTTTTTGCAGGGTTATAACCTCTGACTTAGCAGGCCTGTCTTCAGGTACAAAAGAAAGAGAAATCACTGAATAAATTATGATGAGCGGCTGCCCTGCATCAATAAGGACGATTTCAACTGAAACGGGATAATTTTAATTGCACAAGCATTTTGTTCTCAGTCCTTCACCCCTCGTGTTGGGTGATGTGAGAAAATATCCCCACAAAGAGTAGTGGTGTCTTGTTAAAAATGCAGGCACCAGGACAGACTGTTACAAGGGAAAATATTTATGTGGAAAAATATTGCATGTCTGGTTGACAAGATTCTACTTGTGCTTATTACAAAAAGCTACAGTGCAGTTTAAAACTGACAATCCATTACTATAAATCCATCTTTTGCTTAGGATGATAAAGCAAGATTGAATTATAGATTTCACAGCAGCAATTCTGACATTCTGCATTTTAACTCACACCTTCTGCTTTCCCAAAGCTTTTTTAATCCATTCATTTGAAGTAAAAATGGTCATGCTCAAAAAATTGCCTCAATTTGTGAACGTTTTCATTACAGGAAAAGTACCAACACAATCCCCAAAATTTCTCACAGGCCTTGTAAAAAAAAAGCTTTTTCATCAAAACCTAATTTTTAGCATTTATTAATCTTTTTATGTTTAACTTGATTTGTGAACAAGCACTTTCTCCAAGTGCATGTCTGCTTTTCTTATTTAATTCAGATTTGCAGACAGGGCTCAGATGTAGCTCCATGCTGGGCAGGATTCTGATTTCAGACCATTGCCATTCATACATGAATATTTAGTCACACATGAATTCCATCTCACCCACGGATCACAGTGCCAGTGAATAGGACGAGTTTGTTATCCACCTTCTCCCACTAAATTAAACTTGTCTTGTGTGGAGCCATTTAAAATTGAGATTCCAGTTCTCTGTACCTTGCCCAGTGCTGTGCCCCAGAGTTTAGCAGCTGGAATTGGGACCAGCTCCTTCAAACTGTGTGGAAGGGGTTTAGAGCTGGTCTGTGAGCCAGAGAGAGTTAATTGACAAGGTTTACTCCTGAAAGGAATTTTACCAAGACCATTGGTATGGAGACTGAGAAGAGAGGAAGGAGAAGAAGATAAGCAAGAAGGAACCTGCAGCTGGGAAAAGTATTTTTAGAAAAGTTTTTTGTGAACAACAGTGGTGGAGATTGCTTTGCACCCATGAACGTTATGTTGATCTACTGTAACCAATGAATAAAGTGTAAACTTTGTCGAGTGTATAAAAGAATAAACAGGATTTTAGCCTTCTGAAATGTAATGTGTCCTTTTGTATGTCATGTCTGTCCCAACAGTGACAAAACTGGTGTTACCCCTGCTCTGCTCGGGTCACTGTGATAATTCAGTGGCAAATAAAAGTGGTTAAAGCACTTTGATAATTCAGTGGCAAATAAAAATGGTTAAAGCAGCCAAACCTCGTGTCCCTCCTCCCAAAAATCCATCCCCAGCTCACAAACAGATGTGTGTGTGTGGGAGAGGGAAAGATTTCCCGACTCAGCCCCCGGAATCTGAAGAAAAGTTCAACATCCGAGCTCCCCCAAATGTTAATGAGGCCCTGGCTTTTGTCAGCCCCTGAGTGACGGCAGCCAGGCCATTTGTGGGCACTGATGCGTTCAGTGCTAATTGTCAGTGCCCATCAGGGCACCTCGAATGAACCACAGCTCCCTCCTCATCATCCCCCTTCCCAGCACAGCCTGCAAGGGACAACGAGAACTTCAGCTGCCAAAATCTTCTCCTAAGACAGGGACCTTCAGAAATTATCAGGGGACAGGACAGGCAGTGCTGGAGGGAAGAGGAAACTCAAGGGTTTTAGTGTTTTGTTTTTTTTTTTCTTTG